ATATATATATATATATATATATATATATACAAAATAATTTGATATCTGGGAATTGATTCAAAGTAATTCAGTGGATATAAGTGGAGAGAAGTGAGTTGGGTGGTACAGAAGTAACAAGACGGCCATTAGTTTGTTGGAGGTGTGTGACGGGGGCTCCTTATATGCTTTTCTACTTTCCTTAATATAAGGTGGGGAGAAAAATCCAAGTGGACAGCCCATCCAACCTGGCAGCCTTCCAGTCCCCCTTCCACTTGAGCCACACACACACAGTCATACCAGGACTCCATACCTTGGCTCCTGGAGCCTCCCCTCAACCTCCAGCCCACCTCACTCTCTTACTCACTGACCACATTGGAGTCTTTTCTCTGAGGGCTTCTCCATTTTATCTTAGTCTCTCAGATACCTTTGGATGTCATCTCCTTTTCTCTGGTCTACATGCCATGGTTCACCTCTTCAACCCCTCTCTCCACCCTCATTGTTGACTCTCTTGTTCTTTCCTTGCACTGCATCCAGGGACAAAGGCTAAGCCTGAACTAATCTAATTAGTTCTCTGTTCTTACACCCAAGCTGCAGCAGGCTGTCTGGCACACGTTGATTGGAGGCCCAGCACATTGATTATCTCTGACCTCAGTAAAACCGCAACACAGTTGAACAACCCTTCAGCGTGTCCCTGTGTCCTTCGCTGGCTATCTCAAAGCTTCCCCTTTCGTCTCAAAGTCCCACCCCTGTCTATTCACTCATCACTCTCAAAAGACAGTGAGTCTTTCCCCAAGAAAAGCAAGACCACCTGATGCAAACTCCAACAATTTCCTGCACGCCAAATCATAAACCTCTCTCTATCTACTCCCACTCTTTTCTTAGTGCCTCTTGTTTCAAAAGAAGAGATACCTCAACTGACTCATGTTCTGGAAACCATTTCTCCCACCTCTTGAGGGAAGTTGAACCACAATTTAACCTCCTCTCAGAATCTTCAACCCTTTAATATCTTCAATCTCTTCTCAACATCTCTCTCTCTCTCTTAACTCTTTCAATATTTTTCCACCTTGGGGGGAAAAAAAAGCTCTTCTTCTGGTTTTCATCTCCTCTTACTTTCACTGCCAAACCACTTGTCACTACTCATTCTTCAAGGCACTACTTTCCAAATCACCAATGACCTACATATACCAATGACCCATAGAGTCAATTGCCAGAGTCAAAAGAGATTATCCCATAGTTATCTTATTTGACCTCTTAATGACAACTGACACTAATGGGAAGCGCTGATGAAGTGCTGAGGAATTTGGAGACATCCTAAGAATACAACAAATCAAATCCACATATCAGGGCTATGGCTATGGTCAGGCTTTAGCAGTTTTATACGAAAGACTTTGGGAAAATATATGACTAAAAACCTCAAAAACGCTCAGGTGATCAGAGATTAATTCCAGTGAGAAAGGATAGACTCTGGTTATAAATTAGTGGTGCAAATCTGTGCTCTCATGAGGACTATGCAAATGGAAAAGCCTATTAGACTAGGAAAGAGTAAAAGCCATCCTGTAGAGTTATGTCTGGAGAGGCAAGGGCCTTGATGGAAGTTTATAGGAGGCCTTCGCTCCTTCACTATAACTCGAATTTAAGAATGAGAACGAATTCATGTATTACACGTATAATTAAAAATAAGTTAAAAAGACAGAAGATGCTAGTGAAAGGAGCCACACACCAAAATGTACATTCCATATAGTTTTACTTACATGATATCAAGAAGAGGCAAACTAATCTATTGCGAAATAAGACAGAACAGCTGTTAGCCTGGGACTGGACGAGGTAAACGGGCATGAGGGAGCCTTCTGGGTGCTGGAAACATTTAATCTCTTGAATGGCCCAGAGTTTCCACGCAGCTATGTACATATGCGAAAATTCATGAAGCTGTACGCTTAAGATTCATGTATTTTACTATACGTAAATTATATCTCAGCTGAAAATTAAATAGAAAGATATATATTTTGCAAATTGAAAAAAAAGAAAAAGAAGAGCTGTGATTTGGGCATGACTTCCCTAATCCAAGAACATGGTTAGCGCGGTAAGACTAAGGAATTAAACCTTCAAACTGTGTTTGAGACTCTGCTCTGCACTCTGACTGCAGGCTTAACAATCTGGCTTTGTGAGTCCAATTTGACCTCATGAGGGGAATGCACTGATCTGCCCATCTGCTTATGCCCATGCACTTAACACTGGAATGTTTTCATTGTTGCTTAATAAATTGGCTTTCTGGCCTGAAAATTTCAGTCTGCAGGAACTCAGCTAATAGTTATTAATACTCCTGGCCCCAAAAGATTCAGACACCTTCAGAACAGTAACAAAATATGCTACTTTCCTGGTTCTGCAGAGCTCGCCTGGTGAGGCCTCCCAGCAGTTAGCCAAATGTGTCATCCCCTGACAATGGCCCTCTCTGGCTGTGCTGTTCCAAGAGGGAATGACTGGAAGGGGTAGGAGTGAGGGCTGTCCAGGATGATTCTCAGGAATCCCAAACCCATCTCTTCTGCACCTTTCTTTTTGCCGTGACTTAAATTGAATTCTCACCTTACTCATTGCAGCTCTCTCTGGTGCCTCTGCTTCCATCATCTGTCTCTCCTCTCTTTCCTCTTCCTTTGACTTTTCCAGTGGTTCCCCACTGTTTCTACATTCAAGTTCAAACCACTAAACTTAGTTGAGGTTACAGTTTCACTTAATCTGCAACTACTCCACCCTAAGCCCCACTCTTTACATAACATTCCACTTCAACCAGTATTGCTCAATTGGTGGCACAATCGACATTCTGGGTAGGACGGTTTTTCATTAGCCAACCCTTGTGGTCTTGTGGTTAAGATTTCGTGCTCTTCTCACCATGGCCCACGTTCGTTTCCCACTTAGGGGGCCACACCGCCCATCTGTTGATTGTCATACTGTGGCGGCTGCATGTTGCTGTAATGCTGAAAGCTATGCCATGGGTATTTCAAATATAAGCAGGGACACCCACGGTAGACAGGTTTCAGTGGCGCTTCCAGACTAGGACAGACTAGGAAGAAGGGCCTGGTCTCCCACTTCCAAAACAACTGGCCATGAGAAACTTATGAGTAGAGTGGGGCATTTCTTGATACAGTGCTAGAAGGTGAGAAGATGGCACAAAAAGACGGGGCAGGGCTCCACTCTGCTGTCCACAGGATCATTCAATGGCACTAACAACAACAACAAAATTCTTCATTGTGCAGGACTATCCTGTGCATTCCGATAGGCTTAACATCTGTGTCTCCTGCTCACTGAATGCCTATAGTAGCCCACATTCAGACATTGTGACAACTAAAACATGCCCCCAGATATTTCCAAACAGCCCCTGCTGCCCTTTTCCAACTGGGTGGTGGCTACTGGCCCTTCTGCTCAAGTATTGGGCTGAACCATATGCAGTTGTCACCTTCATACTTCAAGAATATTGAATATTGGGGCTGGCCCCGTGGTCAAGTGGTTAAGTTCGCGCGCTCCTCTTCTGCGGCCCAGGGTTCCGCCAGTTCAGATCCTGGGTGCAGACATGACACCGCTCATCAAGCCATGCTGAGGTGGCATCCCACACACCACAACTAGAAGGACCCACAACTAAGAATATACAACTTTGTACTGGGGGTCTTTGGGGAGAAAAAGGAAAAAATTAAAACCTTTTAAAAAAAAAAGAATATTGAATATTGGCTGTTTAATATGCTTCAACCAGGGACCCAGCCCCACGGCTGAGTGGTTAAGTTCACGGGCTCTGCTTTGGTGGCCCAGAGTTTCACCAGTTTGGATCCTGGGCACAGACTTAGCACTGCTCATCAAGCCATGCTGAGGCAGCGTCCCACATAGCAGAACTAGAAGGACCTACAACTAGAATATACAACTATGTACTGGGGGGCTTTGGGGAAAAGAAGAAAAAAAATACGGTTCAACCAAATATGCTTTCCTTCTGGAAGCCCTCGCTGTGGATGCCCTACAGCACGTGTGGCTCTTTATCCAAGTGCTCACCACCGTGTGTTATAACAGCTGAATTACTCGCCGTCTCCTCCCTCTCACCACACTGCTCAGTCTTAATTACTTGGGAGCGAGGACCATGTCCTAACTTTATCTCTTGGTGTCTCAAGCTTCACTTGGCTCGGTGCCTGGCACGAAATAGGTACTAACCCATGGTTGGTGAATGAACCAACAGGATATTGAGCATACTTTCCCTGATGACTCAATGTTGTTGTTTCTGGGCACAGAGCTGCCTTTAGAGCCTCTTGAGATACTTCCAGATCTTGGCCATACACCAAATGACCCACCATTGCCCTGCATTTCGGACTTGTGAGTCTTGCATCACATTGTCGGTGTGCCTGCCTCCAGTAACCCTTCGTGGCCTTGGGAATCTGAGCACTGTGTCGAGATGCTCCGGGAACTCTGGGGAGTGAATGTTGTCGTTTTGTCTTATTTCTGGGTTCTTGCTGGGTTTCACACATTGGAAGTCTCTCCTATGCTTAGTGAGGCAATTAATTTCTAAGGCTCCTCTCTGTAGTCATGTTCTTTTTGGAAACTACTTAATGATGACTCAGGAGGACTTCCGAAGTTTAGAAATGTCCCTGGGCTGAGATGCCCATTCCTAGCTCCCTGGTGGTGGCAAAATGATGGACTAAGTGATTTCCCAAAGTATTTTCTAAATGGTGGTTGTGTCCCTGTAGTCACAAAGTGTATGGGTACATTTCTTTATTTTAAAAAGTTTTATACCAACAAACACTGAACTATGAATCTCAGATATAAAATCTTTCTAATTTTTGCTTTGGAGGATTTCAAATCAAAAAAAGAAAAAAATCTTTCCATTGTAATTTATATAGAATGATGTCCAGGACCATGAGGGACAGAGAATAAAGGCAGGGGAAGAAGTAAATGGGAAATACAATTTTTGAGAAAATTTTCATATTTACTATACCTTTAAATATTTTTAATATACAGCTTAATAAATGCTGTATAACTCAATCAACAAACAATTTTTGGTTCTTTTATTTTTAATATTTATTCTTCTCATCATCACTTTTCTCTTTTACAAGGTAATTACAACAAAACCTTTAGGAAACAAAAGTAAGTAAACAGAAGAGTGTTAAACAGTTTTTTAAAAATAACTTCCTGCTTAGAAGAAAGTCCATATGATCTCATTCCTCCAAACATGATTTTATAGCTCAGACTAAACCAAGTAGCTTATGGGAAATTAGCATTAAATAGCGAAACACAAAAAATGCACATATATAAATAACTTAACATAAAATAGAGTTTGACTCTAACATGATGCTTAACAAAGCAAACTATGATGCAATATGAATCAACTTCATTAACTGGACAAGTCCAATGAGGCACGAGTCAGATAAGTGCTAAACCCTGAACGATGTGCAAGTGAAACCAGCAACTCCAGCCAGGTTCTTTTCACTCTTGGACTGTATCCAATTCCATTCCAGAGAGAATCAGTTTTTACATCTTCTTGACTCTTTGGCTATAAAGAGAAAAAGGACAACAGAATAAGTGAAGACAGAGTGACTGGCTATCAGGAATGGCTTTGGTACCTAAAGATAGCCTCTCATTGCCGAATCACATCTGCAAATGCCAAGCAGCTCAGAGTGCTTATGAGGTAATCGAGGTTCAGAGAGGATGGACCTTGCCCTACATAAGTCAGCTATCTAATGACAGAAAGAGGATATGAACACTTATTTTGTCTTCAAGTTCAGTGTCTATGGTACCCTGCTGTTAGGTGACTGCTGTCCATTATTACGCCTCTCTATTATCACCAGTGTGAATCAGAACCATTGATCTCTTTTAACTGTTTATTTTTCAGTGTTTAACAAACGATCAAATGTCATGTAGTCTGTAAATTATATAAATAGTAGGCATCTTTGCAACAAGAATCAATCAACTAGTGGCTATCACTTAGATTGCTCTACACAAAAAATCACTAAATTTAAAAAATATAAATAAAATATATATTATGTCATACACAAAATATTTTTAAAATAATAGAAATGATCTATGAGTGGAAAAAATTAATTTTCGTTTTCATGGTCCAACTCAAATTTCCCCTTTAAAAATTATGCCATTTTCAGGCTAAAGAATCTCAGTGATCCACCACTCTGCACAAAGCCCTTGCCCCACACATTTGGAGAGAGGCTAATTGATTGTGAACGTTCCATACCTGAGGATATGCACAGCTTGTTTCACCCATTTCTTCTTTGGATCTGCACACACAGCTAATTTTTTCTTTGTGTAGAAGCTGAAGAATCAGAAAATTCGATTTGTGCTTAAAGAGGTTTTAAATGGCTTTTTTCACAGAATGTGCAATGGAAATTTCATATTCCAGTTGATGGCTCTACACACTGAACATTTTATTTATTTCATTCAGAGGTGAAACAAAATGCACGAAGAAAATTGCTTCTGATAAAGCTCAATGCAAAAAATGAAATCAATTCTCCCTAACTTCTGCAGTTTAACAAATGGTTGTGCAATAGCGGGAGATAAAATCCTAGAATTGTTATTTAATTTTGTTGATGGTGGTTACATGAAATATGTATATATCTAATCAATAACTTATACCATTCTAAAGTATAATATCCAGTATAAATCAAGAAGATTATATGTGACAGTATAATTACTGAGTCTTTACATACAGCGCCAAATGTTTTCTGGTATAAGATGATCATTTCAAAGTTTATATCTTCTGTATTTTCCTGAGACAGCATTTTAGTAGCCTATAAGTTTATCTTAGAAAGTGATTTTCTACTCAACTAAATTCTTTTTTTAAAAAACTAAGCTTTGTCTTATTCCAGTCCTATTTAAAGTGGACTTTGAAATAGATCTGTACTAGTAAAAGAAATCTATCTTTGCTACTTCAGTTATTTCTGAATGAAACTCCAAAAAGGCAAAAAATTTTTATATCTGAAATTCCCATGTACTCTTGATGCAATTGAGTTAAAATCAATTAGTAACTTACATGATTGCATTGATGTCACAAGCTTCATTGGCCAGCTGCTGGGTGAAGCCCACGATAAATTTGGGATGAAGGACATGTGCTGTATATCGGAGGCAGCAGTCAAAGCTGCTTGCTGCTGAAAAGAAATAAAAGGTATTGAGTCCACATGAATGAACTTGTTCTGTGATAGGTATTATGGAACTACTTGGAGTCATGGAAAACCTAGAATCTGATTTATATGGTAAATAAACTATTTAGAGGCACAGTTACAATGTCTTTGAGACCCAATTCAACATAGCGTCCAATTCTCTTAAAAAAAAATAGTTTGTGTACTGGGAAATTTCGATTCAATAATACAGTTTAGAAACATGTGACTTCTCATAAAAGGAGTATCTTTAGTAAAAAATACAAACTGACAATCACGCAACAATATGAGTACCTCCCACTTGAAGAAACTCTTATAAATAAACTTCCAAATTCAGAAAATGAACAAATTGGCAGATTTTAATCTATTATCTGGCTATGAGTATTGAGAGGAGGGGGAGGACAAGAAGGAAAATGTGATTTATAGGAGTTGCTTATAAGAGCTACAACTAAAGCACTTTGGAATTGTAATATTAGTTAATGGGAATTTTTAATTTTGCTCATAAAAGTTCAACATGTGCATTTTCAGGAATGTAGCTGTTGCTAAAAGTGATGGATTCTCAGTAATAAAGCAGTCCTAAGACACTCCCCCAAGTTAAATTATAACCTGCTGTAAGGTGACGGATAGATGTTATCTCAAAGTTGGCAAGTGATATCCCCCAGGCCTTGCAAGGTTTAAAAAGTCCAGTGCTATAATCTACCCCTGAATCATGAGTTTTGAACTTTACTGATACTATTTAGTCGGGAGGTGAGAAAGTTGGAAGTGTTCCCTACATTTCCTTCACTGTTAATGTTACACAACTTACATCACTCCCAGAAACAGCACTTTGAACTTGTTCTGGAGCTTGAGGTCTCTAAGAGTCCACCCACCTCCAAACTCTGCTGGGATTGATTGACAGTATAAAGGAAATCCTAATCAGCAGCAGTAAGCTTTCCTTCCTCCACTCACCAATGTGCTGACAACACCCATCACTGTCCTTTGAAGACTTTCTAACAGCCTTCCATCCCTTGCGGACCCCCAGACGAGCTCAAGGCTTAGCTGAGAATGAAAATAGTTTTTCCTCCTGTGCTAGCAGAAAGAGTGGCACTTACCTTCTGACTTGCTGCAGAGGTGGAGCAGCAGTACTGACATCAAAGCAGCCAGGAGCAAACTCTTGCTGCCACACATCATTTTCAGCTCAAAGAATAGACCTGCTCAATGCTGGGTACTCAGTACCTTGAGAGCGCTGTTATGCTCTGATAGCAGCCTGGGCTTGGGATGGCTCTACTTATAGTAAATATTGGGAATGTACAGAGAAGGCGTGTTCTCACGTGGGGTTTTCCCCATTGATCAATCTGCCCCATCATTTCGTCACACAGCAAAACCACAGGGAAAACTTCCTTCCTTTCCCTAGTGTTGGGAAGGTGTGAAGGTCAGGGCGGAGGGCAGGGGTTGAGAAGGGGAAAATCCTGTTAAATCCTTTGGATTTTCAAGGAGGGAAAAGCAGTTCAGTCCTGTAACCTAGTAAAGGTTTCTATCCAGTTTAACTTAATCTAATTTCTCTGAAAAGAGAAGACAAGGATTAACCATGATACAAAGGTCAGCCCCACACTGGAACATTCCAGAACTCCTATTGTTACACTCCGTTTGCTTTCCAGAGCCATTGGGGGAGGAGGAGAATGAGGTAGGATGCCAGGCATACTAGGACATGCATTACCATTGCATAGCTGGTGCTCAGCTATCAGCAAAGACCTTGAATTTCTAGGATACCATTCAGATCAGGTAATACAACACCGTAGTAGTGTCCCCAGTTTTAGTGGAAAATGCTAGCCCTTAAGTAAGACTCAAGCCTCAGCTTCCTCTTGATTTTGTGTCAACTCTTCTAACAATCTTCTACATTTACACAACTCTAATCAATATTGCAGCCCAGAAAATAATCCCCACCTGCCCTTAACTCTTCATGCTGATGTAGTTACATAGCTCAATACAAAGCCTCAGAAGGGTTGAAGAAAAAAGACTATCAGCAGTGGTTAATCAACAAAACAAATGCCAAATAATAGTGATAACAATAATAATGTAATACGAATTCCTAACTTATGATGGTTAATAAGAACTCCCCATTAGGGAGATTATCGTTGTATGCTAGGGATTGAGTTTGCAGGAAGGGTGTGAATGTAAAGGATAACACAAGGGAGTTCTAGGGGGTGATGGAATTATTTTCTATCCCATTATGGGCATGGTTACACACATCTACACGTGTTAAAATTCACAGAACTGTACATCAAAAGAAAAGTGTGAATAGCATTATATTATCATTTAAAAAGTTTAAAAACATTGAAATCATAAAAAAGTACTGTCCACTAAACATAAATAGGTTGAAAGTAAATGGATTGAAAAAGATATACTATGCACATAGTAAACAAAAGAGAACTGTAGTGGCTATGCATATATCTGACAAAATAGACAAAAATTTTAAAACAAAAATGTTACTAGTGGTAAAGAAAGAGTTCCACATGGATAAAGGATGAATCCATCAGGAAGATACGAAATTTATGACTGTATATACACCTAACAACAGCACCTCAAAATACATGAAGCAAAACCTGACAGAACTGAAGGGAGGAATAGACAATTTAATAATAAAAGTTGGACAAGAATTAAAATGAAAACACAACGTACCAAAACTTATGTGATGCAATGAAAGCAATGCTCAGAGGGAAACTTATAGTGAGGATAAATGAAGTAGGAAATAGCAAAATGATAGAGGAAATCAATGAAGCCAAATTCTTTTTTTTTAAATGTCAGCAAAATTAACAAGCTTTAACCAGACTAACCAAGAAAGAGGGGGGAGTAGAGAGAAGAAAAATCGCTAAACTCTGGAATGAAAGAGATGAAATCACTAACAACTTTAAGAAATAAAAAGAACTAAAAGGAAATACTATAAACAACTGTATGCCAATAAATGAGATGATATAGACGAAAGGGACAAATTATTAGAAAGACGCAAATTACTGGAACTGACTCAAGTAGACACAGAAAGTCTGAATAGCTCTATAATAAGCAAAGATATCAAATTGGTAATAAAAATATCCCCACGTAGAAAAGCCCAAATCCGGATGGCTTCACTGGTAAATTCTGCCAAGCATTCAAAGAAAAATTAAAATCAATCCTTCACAAACTTTTCCAAAAAGGAGAAGAAGATGGAACAATTTCTAACTCATTCTACAAGGACAGTACTACACTGATATCAAAAAAAGATGAAGACATCACAAGAAAACTACAGACCAATATCCCTTATGAAAACAGACACAAAAATCCTTTAAAAAATACTAGTAAACTGTATGAAGCAGCATAGAAAAAGGATTACGCACTATAACCAAGGGGGATTTATCACAGGAAATGTAATACACAGTATTAACAGAATAAAAAACAAAATTGTACGAAAGACATTTGACAAAATGGAACACCTTATCATAATAAAACACTCAACAAATTAGAAATAGTAGAGAACTTCCTCAACCTGATAAAGGTCATCAGCACAGCTAATATCGTACTTAATGTTGAAAGACTGAATGCTTTCCCCCTGAGGTCAAGACCAAGACAGGGATGTTCACTCTCACCGCTTCTATTCAACATTGTACTGAAGGTTCTAGACAGGACAATTAGGCAAGAAAAGGGGAAACCCACCCAGATTGGAAAGGAAGTAGTAACTATCCAGTTTGCAGATGACATGATCTCATATATAGAAAATCCTAAAGCATCCACTAAAAAACTATTAGAACTAATAAATTCAGCAAGGTTGCAAGATTCAAGATCAATATACAAGAAATCAACTGTATTTCTTTACGCTATCAATGAAAAACCTGAAAATGAAATTAAGAAAATAATCATTTTTACAATAGCATCAAAAAGAATAAAATACCTGGGTATAAATTTAACAAAAGAAGTGAAAAGCATAACTAAAAGTGACAAAATCCTATTAAAGAAGTTAAAGAAGACTTCTAAATAAACGGAAAGACATCCCACGTCAAGGATTGGAAGACTTAACATTCTTAAGATGGCAGTACTCCCCAAACTGATCTACAGATTCAACACAACTTCTATCAAAATCCCAGCTGGCTTCTTTGCAGAAATGAAAAAGTCAATACTCAAATTCATGTGTAATTAACAAAGGATCCCAAATAGCCAAAACAATTGTAAAAAGGAAGAATAAAGCCAAAGGGCTTACACTTCCTGATTCCAAAACTTACCACAAAACCACACTAATCAAGACATGTGGTACTGTCATAAGTGTAGACATATAGATCAATGGAACAGAACTGGGAGTCCAGATATAAACCCCCACATCTGTGGTCAACTGGTTTTTTTATTACAGTGCCAAAACCATTCAAGGGTGGAAAAAACAGTCTTTTCAATGAATCATGGTGGGACAACAGCTTATCCATCTGCAAAAGAATGATGTTAAGCCCCTACCTCACACCTTACACAAAAATTAACTCAAAGTGGATCATAGACCTAACTATAAGAGCTAAAACTAAGAAACTCTTAGAAGAAAACATAGGAGTAAATGTTCATGACCTTGAGTTGGGCAATGGTTTTTCAGATACAACACCAAAAGTTCAAGTGACAAAATTAAAAACAAATAAACTAGACTATATCAAAATTATAAACTTTTGTGCTTCAAAGGATACTATAAAAAATGTGAAAAAATCAATCCACAGAAAGGTAGGAAATATTTGCAAATCACATATCTGATAAGGGACTTCTAGTTGTACAGAGAATATACGAAAAACTCTTACAACTCAATAATAAAAAGAAAAATAGCCCAATTTAAAAATGGGCAAAATATTTGAATAGACATTTCTCTAAAGATATATAAATGACCAACAGGTACATAAAAAGATACTCAACATCATTAGTCATTACAAAAATATAAATCAAAATCACAATGACATATCACTTTACACTCACTACAATGGCTGTAATCAAAAAGATAAGTGTTGGCAGTGATGTGGACCCATTGGAACCCTCATACATTGTCGATGGGAATTAAAAATGGTGCAGTCACTTTGTAAAACAGTTTGACAACTTATCCAATTGTTAATCATAAAATTACCACATGACCTAGAAATTCCACTCCTAGGTATGCACCCGGGGGAAATGAAAATATACATCCACATAGAAGCTTGTATATGAATGTTCATGGTAGCATTATTCATAATAGTCAAAAAGTGGAAACAATCCAAATGTCATCAACTGATGAATAGATAAATAAAATGTGGTAAATTTGTACAACGGAATACTATTTGGCAATAAGAATGAATGATGTACTGATAGATGCTATACCATGGATGAACTTTGAAAACATTATACTAAGCGAAAAAAAGCTACATATTATATGATTCCATTTGTAAGAAGTGTTTGGAATTGGTAAACCTACAGAGACAGGAAGTAGGGCTACTTCCTGTGGTAAACCTACGGTAGATGGATTGTCTAGTGCTAGTTTGTGGTGTCAGGGGAAAGGGACGGGAATAGAGAGTGACTGCTAATGGGTATGTAGTTTCCTTCTTATTTTTTCAATCTAAAAATAGATAGTGATGACATTTGTGTAACACCATGAATACACTAAAACACATTGAATTGTTCACTTTAAAAGGGTGAATTTTATGGTATGTGAATTATATCTCCATAAAACCTGTAATAACAACAAAAAATTTCTCCACCTACCTACACCTGACACTCACCCCAGCCCATAGATCCTCTTTCTTTATGACTCCTCTTGATTGCTGGGAATCTGTGTTCATTTATCCCTCGTCCTCCATTCCTGTAGCCTCTCTTCTTCTCCCTCTCTCTCATCTCTTAATCACATGTCTTTTTTTTAAATTATTTTATTGAGGTCACATGGGTTTATAACATTGTGTAAATTCCATGTGTACATTATTATATTTCAGTTCCTGTATAGACTGCGTTGTTTTCACCACCAATAATCTAGTTTTTATCCATCACTATACACATGTGCCCCCTCACTCCTTTCACCCACCCCACACCCCCTACCCTCTGATAACCACCAATCTGTTCTCCTTATCTACATGTTTATTTGTTTATCTTCCACATATGAGTGAAATATGTATTTGTCTTTCTGTCTTATTTTCTTCTCCCTTTAATAACTATGAGAGAATTGATTTTTTGGTACTTTTTTGTATTGATTGACATTGTATTTGCCTTTGCTTAGTTTGATAGATGTATTATTTCATATTTGTCACCTAAAAACTCTTTAAAAGGTGATCTTCAGCTGATCCTTTGGGTCAGTCAATGAACATGCTAATGAAAAGGTTCATATAAGAAAATTATTTCAAAGCTAATTTATTAGAAGCCTATTTATTTTGTAGACATTCTTTTCAAATATCCCAGACACATTCCTAATGAGTCCTAATTCCTGCATGTAGTAGTCTCAGTGTTTTACTCAGTTTTTCTGTTTCGTTTTTCAGAAAAAATTTGACAAGTGTCTTATGTGGAAGGTACTTAGTAGTATATACATATGGCTAGAACGTGATGACTGAATTCAAGGGAATTTATAATAAGACAGTTAAAACTCACAAATAACTATAAAACAAAGCAATAGGAGGTAAGTGCCATATTCACATTATATGAAACATTTTCACAGAAATTGTTAACAAAATGTGATCATTTAAAAGTTACTTAACGCTCCTTCCAGTTTTATGGCAAATGAACATGAAACATATCATGCTAACGGAATGCCCATCAAAGACCATTCTCTTTCTGATAGGGGTTCCTTGAAAAGATTTTTGAAAGATGGTAGGAGTTCCTTTTAAAACAGCATTTATTGAGCACCCACCAGGTGCCAGATATTTTAGTAGGGAATGTGCTGTGAAAGCAAGGAAGAACGATACTTGATTTCTACAAGGGGGAGTGGGGACAAAGGACCAGCCAGCCTGGAGCTTCCTGGCTTCCACACAAGTGGGTCCTGACTGCTTCTGAGCTCCGGGGACAAACACGTTCCTTACTGTGGATTTTGAATAGTATCCAACTATACAATTGCTAAGCTACAAAAGAGTGGAGACCCTCTCATTCAATACCTTAATTGTAAAGATAGGGATACAGAAGCCAGAGAGATCTTTGACTTCGTCAGCGTCAAACCACAAGCACTAGCTGGATCTACAAATCAGATCTTCTTCCCCAGTCAGTGGATTGTTCCTCATTTCCTCCTCAAGGGTTTATTATCCGATTATCAAATGAGTGGTATTATATATCATTAACTTCCCTTTAGTTTCTTTTAGATAGTAATGCAAGTTGT